CCGTATTACTTCTTCTTCTTCTTCTGACAAATGTACTTAGTAAAAAATTGTTAAATTAATTTTTAATTAATTTAATTAATTTAATTAATTCATTCATTCATTCGTTCATTTTTTTTGCAGTTTAATGATAAGAAAATTTCAGATTGGCAACATACTTTATTGTACATACTATTATTTGGCCAATTTTTGGCTGTTTTTGCAATGATTTGCTTTTGTTATTCACAGTCAACAGATGTTAACAGAAATGCTCAATTTTTATTTACAATTTCAATTGGCCTTTCTGGTTTGTATTATTTATTTATTTACCTTTTCCTTGTTTACTTATTTGGTTTGTATTGATTTATACGATTTATTGATCATTATTGATTTATACGATTTATTGATCATTATTGATTTTATACGATTTATTAATCACCATTGATTTTATACGATTTGTTGATCATTGTTGATTTTATACGATTAATAAATCGTATAGAATTGATCATTTCATTTCAGCACTAATCAATATTGGCTGTAATATAACATTTCAAATATTTGCTCACATGCTCGAATATAGATTCTATCATGTTAGTGTTAGTGGTATTTATGAGGTAAGTAAATATTATTGATTTGTAGGAGATATATGGAAAATTTCTTGGTGATATGGAATAATTAAAGTACATTTATAATTTCAGAAGCATGTTGGATATTCATATTTTTTACATCTTATTGATTCCGTTTTACTGGTACTGTCTTTCCTATTTTCATTGGCCTATATGATAATGCTTTATCGATCTGTTGAAAGTAACAGTTCAGTATGGACGACAGGTCAAAGTGCTTTATCAACAAATCAGGTCAACAAATCGTTTGTATTTATTTGTTTGTTTATCTTACTTTTCACACTTTGTTTATCAGAAATTTATTACTTTTTTCCCGGCATTTTTTTTCCTTTTTTTTGTGATTTTGTTAACTTTGCATATTTTCTCATTTATTTATTTTCAAATTTCCCAACAAATGCATTATAAAATATTTGCGGTAAGATCAAAGCTTTCAGGCTTATCAACATTATCATCCGCGTGAAGATCTTTTCGCAATGCGTGCCCTTCCTGAATTGCCTCAAAAATACCGGAAATAATTGCCATATGTAAATTTTATATGCTAACTGTTGTAATTTATCTTGATAAAATATGTATTATACTGGTTTTTGAAACTAATTGTTACGGTCCCTTTTTATGTATAAACTGATCTGTAATTCAGTAATCAATACTTAATAAATCATCGAACTTGTTCAGATTTAATTTGTTAACTATCAAGGCATATGTTCAAATCACGCTTCACTCTTCATTTCAACCGTATTTCATAGATAGATGAATATTTTAAAGTCATCTTCTGTCTGTCTAGAAATAAAACAAAATCAAATTTAAGAAAAAAAAAAAGATGAAAAATGATTTTATCTTATTCAATGTAAATAAAAGTTATGGGAATTTTTGATGACGAAATCGATGAAATATGAGCGGGATAGAAATCACTCGATTGGATAGTTTTAATCAAATAAATTTAGCGACATGAAATTTCGTCCCTCAAATGATGACACTATATTGTCACCTATATGTAAGTAGTATTTTAGAATGAAATGTCACTCTGTTTGTCTGTTTCTATGTGTTTTAAGATCGTCCAATACAACATTATTGCAGCAGAATGTCGTCATTTCGACAGTCATTGGTCATTCTAAATTGATTTCTGTCATAGCTCTTCCCTTTTTAATGAATTTCAGATCATTTTTCTAAAACAAAATATTGAAGTGTTAAAGTTCTATTTTTTAAATCTTTATTTCAATAATTTTAAGTCTCAATTTTTGAATTATAAAGTATAAACTTTTTTTTTGTTTATCTAAATATCCATTACTTTCATTCCTTCCTTTCCTCCCTTCCTTCCCTAAGCTAAAATGATTTTGCTAACATTTCAAAAACTATTCATATTTTACCTGTTCTTTTGCTAATATCCACCAGGTTGAAATCATAAGACAGTAAATAATCGAAAGATTTTCCGTGAACCGTTTATGACGTTGAATGAATTCTCAGACAATTTTTGGACAAATATTTATGCATAAATGAATAATAGTTCACAAAAACAATAGAAAAAAACGAAAAAAGTTTTTTTTTCAGTTAATCATTAATTAGCATAGCTTAATTTATCAGTTCTATGATGTACACGTAAACGTGTAAGAGTGCATAGTTCACGTGATTTTTTGGTTAATCATTAGTTAAGATAGCTTAATTCATCAGTTCTATGATGTACACGTAAACGTGTAAGAGTGCGTAGCTCATATGAAAAACGTGTAGCCTAAATTACGCCAATTTCCCTGTGAATATATTGAAAACTTACATTTCTCACTTTAGTTTTTTGATTTGCATACCGTTAGAGGAAGTGAACTTTGATTTGAATTTAATAAACAAATCAGTTACTCCACATAGATTATTGATACTTGCATGCATTGTTGCACCATAACATGCTGCAATCTTTGTTCCCTTAAATATTTTCGAAATGAAATTAGGCAATTGAATTTGTCAATACCTTCAAAATGCGTGGGATTGTTTTTGTCACATACCTCCGGCAGTTTCATTTTTCCACTGACTTGTTAGGCATGTCATATGCTTCTTTCATTTCATATGTATCAAATAATTTGCTAAGCAAGGTGACATTCATTTTTTGTTTTGTTGTCAAGGAGACCTCTACTTTTTAAACATTTCAGCATTTAGTTACAGCTTTCATAATTCCCCGTACTCCGTTTTTACTTTTCCACTTTGGAAAAATCCGGTTTTTTTCTTTACAACTTGAAACTCTTTTTTACTTTCCTGATATCTTACCGGAATTGAAATCATCATAAACTGCATGTGTCTATCTGTTCTATATAGTTCAACTAGATCTATTTCCTCTCTAAAAAACCTGTCTTGAATTTCTTGATCAGGAAAGATATGTCATGCTTCTTGAGAATTTAACTTTTTTATCCGGCTGAAAAAACTGTAGAAAGCAATTGTCGAGCTATTGCTGTTAATTGTTTAGGAAAAGAAAAATCAATGGAATGCTTTAGCTTTCCAATTTCGCGTTTCTTTGATTACTGTAATAAATTTTACTAACAATAAGGAGATTCTATTAGCAATTTCCAGAAATTCTTTCAATGAGTAGTGTTTATTTCAGTTATGTGACATTCATTAGTTGAAAAACATTGGATTTATACTTCGATTTTGTCAAAATTCAACATCGTCTTTCAAAACTGGCACTTAATTAGCATATTTGATAGACTTAAGAACTTCAACTGAGCTTATTCCTCCTATCGTTCAATTTCGAATTATTTCGTAAAAGTTTGAAATCCACTTTAATTTGCATTCATACACTTTGAACCATATGAAATAGAATACCACGTTAAGAACAGAATCACTGGTCAGCGGATGTCCATCTCTTGTCATTATTGTGATCATCGGATGTCCATCTCTTGTCATTATTGTGATCACCGGATGTCCATCTCTTGTCATCATTGTGGTCATCGGATGTCCATCTCTTGCATTGTTTAATTTACAGTTGATTAGTTATTGATTTATGTAAACATATTGAAATAGATGGATTCTTCTTTAAGGAAGAAACAATCACCATTCTATTCTAATATGAATATCGAATACCAAAATAATCATTATTTGATATGTAGATCATCTCTTAACCTTTAATTTTTCTTCAGCTTTCATGAGAGAATAAGGGATCAAAGGTCACAATTTTAGGACACAGTTTTAATACTATCAAATATTTTCCACTTTAAATTTGGATACCATTTAAATTTTTTATCCTTCAAAATTCACTGTCACTTTTTCCATGTTGAATTAGCCTATTTTACTTATTGAAAACTTATCTCACAGAACTTTCCATTCTTTTTCATCACCGTACCTTTTCATTTATAGCTGTTCTATCAATTAGCATAATCCGCTTTGTAATTACCTGTGAACTGCTTTATTCAACTTTTAATAACCTTATTTACCAAATGCAGAAGTTTTATTTACTCATTTCATCAGATGTCTGTTGCAAAAGTTTTTAAATTAAGATCGGACATTTCATTGACCATTGGTTAGTATGTTCTTCTTGTATTGCAATTTAATGCTTACTGTCCCACTTGCATTCTTTTGATGTTTTTATTCTTTGTAGGATTTTCCATTGAATCATTCTACGATCATAAAATGATCATACAGAATACTGTCAACAAATTTTGGAAAATAATTTAAAAAATCTGGAAATTTTTTTTTCTTCAAAAAAGATGTTGGACTGGTCAAATCCATTGCTAAAAGCGCAGGCTATAGCCTTTGCCCCTTTATGCATTGGCAATCTGTTTATGTTTATCGCTTTATTGACTCCTGCATGGCAGGTAATTTCAAGTTTTTCTTGTTATTTCTATTTTTAACTTCTGGCTGTTTTGGCTAAATGATCTATTTTTCATATTGGAAATGCATGATAACTAATAAATTCAAAACAAATAAATTCAAGGTGGCAGAGGATACAGATGCCCATCGATATATGCAAAGTGGTTTATGGATGTACTGTCCCGGTGGTGTACCTTGTTGGTATATTTTTAGTGATAACCTGATTAACTATTACGAAAAAGTAGATGTTTGCCGATTCCTTTTAATTGGTGACTGTCGTAAAAAACTCATCAAGACACCATATTTCTTTGGTAAGTTTGGATCGTACAATATCTCAGTTCAAAAACTTTTTTTTTAATTAATATCAAATTTTGCAATAGCTTTTTAGGAATTTGCATATGTTTTCAGGATGGCATTATGCCGTTCTAATTCTCTTATTGTTCGCCTTGGCATTTAGCCTCATCGCTACAGGATTCCTCATACTTGGTGTATATCGAAGTAGCAAAGTTCGATTATTTACAATCATCTTCATTCTGTTCACCTTCTTATCCTGTAAGCTAATGAATCCCACTTAAAGATACAGGATGCTGAAATTGTGAACATTGCTTGAAATATTGAGGCATCTGTTAGCTTTTCTATATTAGCACTAAATTAGTTGTACCGATAATACATATTACACATTTAATTAACAATTGAACTTATGATCATTTTCAGTCCTGTTCTCATCAGTTGGATTAGCTGTTTTCGTGATTAATGCCGAAATGTTGGAATCGCGTTTTCTGATTGGTGTCAAAAATACATTCAAGGTGTGTTTGATATATTTTAAATCATTTATGTTTTAAACGAGAATGTAACCAAGTTAATGTTTTGGTATTTAGATTAAATATTATTAATGCCTATATCGTCGAAACGTTTAAAGCTGTTTATTTTTCCCAAACTAAAGAGAAAATTCATAATTCGTTGATACTCTCATGATAAAAACAAAAAAAAGAAAAACTGTGAATCAAGAAATGATACATAGCTTTTATTGACTTTAAAATCCAGATATTCACTTGTTTTAGCAATATGTAAATATTTAAACTTCTCATTCGTAATTGATTGATAAAGAAACACCTAGATTAACGAAATTGCAAAGAATTCAAACAAATCTTTACTTCAGAAAGAATACGGTTATTCGTTCTACCTTGCTGGATTAGCATGCATGTTTCTAATGTTTGGTTTATTGGCTGGCGTTATGGTAATGAGTTATATATTTCTCACGAAAAGCGGGCGCAGTTACGTAAAAGAAGCAAAACTCAAAAACTCTAGTCCACCATCATGGCGATCGTTTATGGGCATAAAGGAACCGGAGGTGATTTCAGTTATTTTACCCGAGTACATTTCTACAAAAACTTCAATCCAAAATTTGCCAAGGATTTTAAGATCGGAAAAGTAGCTTGGTGGATGTTGTTCATGATTAAATTGACTAATACAATTTCAGCAAAACACTCCGATTCTAGTTTAGTTGATTTGGTTTTTCCGCCAAGTCAGTCGCAAAAAAATTGCAAAACCTTATATATTATTAGCTCTCATATAAACAGTTTTCGTTTTAGAGCACAACAAAACGTCCTAGCAGTCAAACAAGTTCATACCCGACGATTCCGGTTTTCCAAAATGTCTTCGAACATCCACCACGACCAGGCAGTAACACAGCATCACAGTCGGTAACACCATTACCGCCAGAATATATGTCAACAACCAGAACATTCTTCAGCTACTAATAATGCATAATGACCAAATGTAATTTTCCCAGCATTTCTTGTAAATAAAATATGAAGGAAATCATGCCTCTTCTCACGTTCAGTAGTTATAGTCAAGCGCGTTTATACTCAACAAGTTTCTTTGTGTTAGCCTCCTAACAAAGCCCAAAAAACTCTTTTTGTAATATAGCGTACAAAGTCAAACTTGAAATGCGACCGAAGTTTATTGAATAAAGCAAGAAACAAATGCTAGTCAGCAAATAAAACAAACATTTCAACTCAACAACAACTGACTTTTGAAAAGTTTTTAAATGCGTTTATTTTTGTCTGCAAAAAGATCTGAAAAAATCAACAAAATTTAAAAAACATTATAAAATATGGAATTTAAAATGCTAGGTGCACGAGATAAAAGAATTCCCTTACCATTCAACGCTTCCTGATTGGAAGTCACAGAAACCAAGTAAATTTTTTACGAATATATAACTTAAAAATATTGAAAGTTTCAACAAGGCATACTAGAGGCGAAAAAACAAGAAAAGAGATAGTAAAATAACGAACATTTTGAAGGAGTAAAAAAACGCAGCTGAAATTCATTGGAGGGCTTAATGTAAATTATTTTATCCTTAATTCTAGACACGAACAAGTTTTTTATATTCCTCTCCGGAACATCAAAATTAATTTCAAAAATAGTCCAAAGAAATACTAATCAAAAAGCAAAAAATAACCGGAGTTCAATCTCTGCATGTGGGAAAGAACTGGTTCAGAAATCTGCAGCAGCAAGATATTCATTGATAACGTCTGCGTTGCGCTTCAACAATTGCTCGTTCAAATGCACTGATTCCATGATTTGCCGCGTGGTGCGATTAAGCGTTCGAGCTTCATCTGCTTCTAGACACGAGCAAACAAAGTCCTGAATTGGAAGTGGAGACTTGTTATTAAACTAACTTTGAAATTTAGTTATTAAACTAACTTTAAATCTAACTTTAGCTCTTGTTCAGGCATAATCGAATTAAAATAAAAATGGGCGTCTTAAAGAAGAGAAGAAGTACGCCAAACATACATCTGTCGATTTATCAATGGTGTGGTCTCAACATCTTGCCGAAAATGTTAGCAATTCATTATGGGATTCTGACTTGTCAATCGTACGTTAATTATATGTAATTTTCAGCAGTGATTGATTAATTACCTCAACTTCTTTTACCATTACACTAGAGCACTGACAATCAGCACTAGTTCTGTAACAATGCTGGAAAAGCGAACTATTTGCACCACCAAATTTTTGAAGCAGTAGTTTGGTAGAATCCTGAAAAAGAATCACACTGTAGGAAAAGTGCAATATTTGCGAAAATAAAAACAGTAATTTCCATTATCCCTTTAAGTACAGTAAGAAAAACTTTTTGAAATTCTCCAAGTGCTAAAAAGTATCAAGAATCGTAACGTTTTTCAAAAACCAAAGTACTCACCTTGAAATATTTCCACACAAAATCTTGCCCCGACTTATTCACACATGCACCATAGAAGAGATAAATGATATCTTGCGGACGAACTTTGCCCTAAACCATTACTTTTTATTGATGAGCTTTAAAGTAACATCTTTATAATAATGGGATATGAAAATCAAAATTACTACATAACAAAGCAAGAAAAAAAAAGACAAAGATGTTCCATGAAAATTTTTCCAAACGTCAGAGTTTCCCTCTCAACAACGAAATAAGAATTCTAAATAAAGTATATCTAGGACTGGATTTACTAAACCTGTTTTCTAATATTTATATATTTAAAAACTGCATAGAGGTGCATAATAATCACCAAAGAATATTACTGACAAGCATTATCCTAATAGGAATCACAATAACAATAATTCAAGATGACTAATATAAATAAAGAATATTACATTTTTAATGCCGTATTCGAAAACTTCCTTCAATAAATCTACATCGGATGTTTGCGGCATCGCCACAATGCAATTTCGCTCTACTTCACCGAATCCTGCAGTTTCGTAAATCTGCAAGACTATTTTAAAACATCTGTTAAGAAAATCAAGGAACAACAGACAAAGAATGTTATATTTTAAAACTTACTGACATGCAATAGCAATCAGACTTCAGTCATTCGCCGTTACACTGAGTGTGTCACTATAAACTGCACTATTCAAAAAATGCAATTGAGTTTCAATGATCCGTTTTATTAGAATCCTTTTCCGATATAAAAAGAAATAAGATTTGGTATTCTAATGAGAAATAAGGTTTATACTTCAAGTTAAAGTTCCCCATCAGGCAGAAGGATTCGCTATCAACGGATTACAGAAATAAAATCATGTTGGATGCGGCAAGCAAAAAGTCTTCCTCAAATTAAAAATAAAATTAAAAATGGTTAACCTCTTTCAGTTCTTGAAATCCCTCTTTACCATAATGCCTTCCCATCATTCCGTATATCTGAAAAAAATCAAATATTTTATGACAAAGTATTGAAATTAAATTTCCTTTTTAAAAAATGAGTGTTAATTTCATCCCATGAAAAAATCTTGTTTACAAACATACCGTAAGTCGCAAATCTGGATGAAGCTCAGTTTTATTTCTGAAATGTTCTAGAAACTTCTCTCTAGCTGCTTTAATAGTTTCTTCATGGTCGCAACGACCTAATCGACCAAGAATTAACGCTCGCAATAATGCTATTTGGGAATCTGAAGAGGTTTCACAGGAAAAAAACGTATGGAATGGTCTTTCTGTAATCTCTAGAAAAACCAATTTTTAAACAGCAGCAAAGTTTATAAGCAAAAATTACTCTTGTATGGTAAAAATACAGAAATTCCTTCCTCGAATGTCAAAATACTGAGTGCCTTTTCGAACTGCTCTTCGCTATTAAAAAATGCACATTTTCTTAAACGTACCTTCATTCGGTTTAGCTTCCCAACCAAGTCGATTTGCCACTGGTATTAAAATTTTAACAATAAATTTATTAAATTTCGAACGCATAATGGGGTCATAATGTGATAATACATTCGACAACGCAGAAATGCCTGAAACTTCTCTCTATATTCTGTAAAAGAAATAAATCAGACAGTTCATTTTTAAAACTAATATTCGGTTTATAACTTTATAATCTTTAAAATTATAAATTTCTACAACAAAATGGTCCATAATGCATTGTTTTTCAAAGAAACTTTACCTGAATCAAGAGTACTCCACACTGTGTAGTCATCTTCATTTGAGGATGATTCAAGCAATGACAAAAACTGTTTTGCTGATTGTCGTCCAGACTTCACCTAAAAACTGTTTCTTTTGATCCATATACTATAAATGTCTTAATATTATTAAGAAATTGGTCAAAGCCTAGATATCCATAGAAAACAGAACTTATCTAACAAAGGAAAAAAGTACTTACCAGTGCAAATATATCGTTTGCAATGCCAAATCGGTCAAGTACGGGAATCTTTTTGGTTGCAAAGTCAGGTAAAAGCGCTTGTAACATATCATTTGAATATAAAACACGATAAAAACCTGTAGTTCCGACATTCAGCTATAACATATTTTTTTAAATAAAACTTCATAAAGAGGACTTACTGAACACACATTAGTGCAATCTGCCTGCCTTTACCACATCAATTTCGAAAATTAGTACTGTAGCGCTTGAACAGGATCTACACAACATTGATGAATGAATATTACAAAACACAATATTTCATTCGTAATCAAATAAGACTAAGGCTGCCAACACCGCTGACAAATTGTTCAGATAAAGGAGCTCAACAAAAAATCCACAAGCAAACACTTTGCCAATACTGTTCAAAATAAAAGCGTTGTAACGTCTTTAATATAATTATTATTTAAGTGCATGTATATTACCTTTATCCAGTCCTTAGGGTCTACATCATTAATCGTAACATCGTGCTCAAATTCTTTCAACAGAACTCTTTCTTTTATTTTATCCGGTTCAGATGATACGGAGATCGTGATTGGAATCTGTACGTGATTTTCACAATTAAAATTAGACCTTAAAATACCCAATCGTGCAAATATACGTATACCCGTTAATCATAATTATTTTTTAATTTTTACACATCGACTGTCCATCAAACTTATCAACCGATGAAAGTAATGGCACTATCAGTCCACCCGTGAAAGTAGCTTATATAGATAAATCTAAATACAGGAAACTCCGCAAGTAATGAAATATTACATGATGAAACTACTTATTGAAAAACAACTGAAACCAACCTGCCATAGCGAGTTTTTTTCATCAGTAGTGCCATCAGCGAGAAATCTTTTCTGATTCATTTTTATGATTCTTTTCTTTCCATTAATTTCCTGACTAACACTAACAAGAGGATAACCCATTTGTTTTGTCCATGTTGACATTAACGTTTCAATGTCCTGAATTTTTAGATACCAAGAGTGTTCTCATAAAGATTTCATGTGCCCGAAATTCGTTGCTCAAATTCACATGCTCAAAAAATTATTGAAATAAAAATTTGACAGCTATTATAAGAAGTAAATAGAAAACTTATCTTTGTTTATTTTATGCATGTTATGTTCCTTCAAACAGATTATCTGTACCAAAAAGAAAAGTCAGTAACCCAGTCGACCAGAAAATCGAGTGAATTTTAGTTCTCAGTGCTCAAAATAAAAAAAAAAATAAATAAATAGGAAAAAGGATTACGAAGCTTACCTGACCGGAAGCTTCACTCAGCGCATTCCACAAATCAGTAGTGACTGCATTGCTGTATTGGAACCTCGTAAGGTATATCCGTAACCCTTTTTGGAATATCTCTTCACCCAAATAATTGCACAACATTCGGTTGATTGAATTTGATTTCGCGTACGTTATATTATCATAGATTTCATCCATTTCATTAGGATTATCTATTTCAACCTAGAAAGCTAGGTACATTTTTATGAATCTCAAGTATTTGTTTGCCCGACAAATATATTTTTTTATCGAATTTCGAGAACTCATAAAAATCTTCATTTATGCATTTTTCGTGAGAAAATAACTATCTTATTGAGAATTTGAAGGATAGTCTATAGTCTGTTGATCCCACTATTTAACCACATGATAAGGAGCTTTACAACGACTTATTGCTGTTTTGAACTGCAACCGAGTTCCCATTTTTATCTTTAGAATATATCAAGACTCCTTTATTGTTCTTTAAATTCCTTAAAGTGAAAAGCAAATATGAAAAACAATACATACACTGACACATGCTCACAGAGACAAACCTCGATCGGATGAGAGCTTCGCAAAGCATCTAAGTCAAAGCCTGATGCAAGCTCATCATTAACAAAATGAAGCCATATTTTAAAATCCGGATAATTAACACCAACAAACATGTACTCCATAAACGAAGCGAAACCTTCTTTTAACCACAGATCGGTCCACCATTTCTGTTAAATATTAAATTACATTGGAGCTTAACCAAATTATCTAAAATCCATACCATAATAATTTCGCAAACTAAGCGTACTAATCTGCTCGAATAGAATTCATACGTTATGTAAATTCAGACGAAAAACTGAGACTTAAACTGCATTGTACCAATCAATTAATTTAAACCAACCAACCATTGTGACAAGATCACCAAACCAAAGATGAGCAAGTTCATGAGCGACAACGAGTGCGATACGAGATTTTTGTCGTGTAGAAGATTTGGCTGGATCAACCAGTAATGCTACCTCGCGATATGTTACCAAGCCCCAGTTTTCCATGGCACCTAAAAACATACTTGGGAAAATTAAAAATTTAAAAGACTTAATATAACCAACATTAAGCGCCATTAAATGACTCCCCGTTCGTTTAATTAATGATGAATTTCAACTGAATCATTCGACAGGTGATTGATCAATTTAGTTACAATTAATTTACAGTTGGTTTCTTATGTTAACTTCAATCTTTAAAACCTTTCAAATTAATGTGGAAGGTAAAATTATTACCCATGCTGAAATCGGGAATGGCTACGAGGTCACATTTGGGTAATGGATAATCGATACCAAACCATTTACTGTACCAATCTAGCGCTTTTATTCCAACTTCTAGAGAAAATTCGCCCTGGTTCTTCTTACCTGCCACTGTATATATTCGTACCAAACAATCTCCGTTTGTTTTACCCTATAAAGAATTTTGTTAACAACTAGAATAAGTTACTTGATTTCTAAATGAGCGTTAAAACATCCTACAAACATGGTTTAAGACTCATAACTTCTGCAAATGTTCCTGCCAATTTTATTGAAAAACAAATATTTAAATAATAAGCTTCTAAAAAAAACTGAAAATCAATAAGGCCATTAAAGTCAGAAAGGTTATACTGTTTATTTACAATAAATTTTGTGCGTAACTTTAGCAATCTGAAAAAAAAATAGAAAAATTATGAGCATCACCCACCTCGATATACTCCAGCTGACCGACAGCAAACGCAACAAGATATGTTGACATTAATGGAGTAGTTGCGAATTTCACCACCTTTTTATTGTCTACCTTTGTTTCGCTTATAACATTCTGCAGTTTATAAGTGTAAATTACATGAATAAAGTACTCGCAAAATCTCGTTGGACTGTCGAAATCAAGAGGATACAATTTCTAAGGTCCCACAAACTATGAATATGAACCAATTTATAATGATATGCGAATGCAGTTATCAACATATTCACCCCGATAAAGTCCCCGAAGTGACAGAGTTTCGCTATCGTTTATCAGTTATTTTACTTCCATTTTTTAAAATCTCGGAAATATTGGAAATCATGAAATTGTAATCTGTTAATCCATTCAGAGAACTGTAAACGCCCAAAATTTTCAAGCTGACTGCGGAATAAATTTCAATACTTTTTTAAAACAAAATCAAGTTCTAAAAACACATTAAAATGGAAATAATGGTCACCATATTCGAAAGTGCTGTAAGTCCTTCATCCACTATAAGTGTAACATCGAACTTTGCTT